AATATACGTGGCTATTATGGGGAATTGACTGTTCCAATATTCCTCAATTTTCTTCTTATTTTTTTTTTGCCATTTTATTTTACAAATCTTGCGCGCAAAGCACAGCCACTTTCCAATTGAGACTGCCACCATGTAACTGGCACGCATAATTGGATTCCTGATCTTCGGATGAACTTTGAACCTCTCTTGGAGTTCAATAAACTGCTTTCTTGCTTGGAGATGCATTAGTGCTGAAAAACTTCTAAATTTCTTACCCTCTGCAATGAGTCTCCTCACTCTGTCAATCATTGAGACAACTCTCGAGTCATCTTCCTCATCGGCAGTGGGATTCAGCCATGTCGCAACATCACTGCAAGTCAGATCTGCAGTCGGCTGTGGGGCAGCACATGGGCCTGACTCTTCAAATTCCGGTTCCAAAATTGACCGCAGGGGTCCTGGGGCTGAGTATTCGGAAGCTGGTGAATTATTTTCAGTTGTGAGTTTCTCGTCCTCTTCAATCAACAAAGGATGAGCTGCGGTGCCAGGTACCGCTTCTGATTCGGGACTGGGTGCATGGGTCTCCCCTTGCATGCCAAAAAAGGAGTCAATTTTTGCGCTGCCCTCTGCAACCTTTCGAAGGACCTTTTGTTTTGCAAAAAAAGAAGATCTACCAGCACCGCTATATGTAGGCTGGTTTTTTTTGAGAGGTTTTTTCTGGTTTTGCTTAGAGGAAATTTCCTGTAAAGAATTTACCAATTATATATTGAGAAACACTTTGTCATGACTGGTTTATTTCCTGTACCCAGCTATCTCTGTGTCCTTTCCCCACTTCTTCTCCATGTTCGCTTGGCTTCACCCTTCCCTTCGACCACACCTCCTCTATGTTCGCTCCATTCCCCCTTTACCACATTCGCCGAATGACTATTCGCTACTCGCATCATTCTCCAGTAGGCACACCATCAAACACGATTGGCACCCTTTACCCAGCATGATGGTTCATCACTGGCCCCATCACCTTCTTGACTCAACCCCATTTGGGCGTGCCTATGGCCGGAATGCATTCACAGGGTGTCCTACCCATAGATCGTGTGGGATCAACCCAGCAGACGAAGAGTCCATGCAGGGTAACATGTATGCAGGTCTCAAGGCATGTTTTCGTACATAGGCACCTTTGCTCTCCTTCCTCTCCGTTGTTTCATGTCTGCACTCCTCTTTCATTCTGTTGTATATGTGTTTCATCTATTCTGTATCCTGACTGCACACCCCTATCCAACCTTGACTCATGGTGGCCTCTTTCCTATTCACTGGTATCATACGAGCATTCGAAATAAGTAGCTTATATTCGCCTGTATATTCCCCAGTTCAATTATCATATGTCTATCTTGTACAAAACTTGACCTCACTGTGACCATCATCTTGAGCCCTCTCCTATAGATTTCTATCTTCGACTAGAGGAGGACTTAAGCACCACTGGTGCCCAGTTTCCTTCTAAAGTTTAAATTTGGGGACCTGTGGTGCAATTTGGCGCCATCGGCAGACTGGCCGCCTTTTAGTGTCTTACACTGTGGCGGATGCTCACAACTTTTCATTACCTGTAGCTTCACCCATTTTATTCTCAGATTATAGAAAAGAAGAGGATGAAAGTACATGCCAATCTTATTGTTGGGATATAAATAAATTTACTTTTGTCCCTCCCCGAGTGGCGGCTTCGCCGATGAGAACGCCTCTTCTTATTTTTTCTACCCACTTTTAATATACACCACATCATTATAACTATTCATACTAATACTCCTACTCCTACTCATATCTGTTACAAGTGTCTGTCCAAGTATCTGTTACTCTATCTTGTAGTCTAATACTCTCTCATATGTATATATATCTTCAAGATGTTTAAATATATACAGAATCATCTAATAACATCTATTATTCTCCTTATAAATACTACTATATATTCCTATATGTTGTTATTAATACTCTTATAATGTATATTATATACTCATATATGCTGTATCACATGACCATTATGATTATCATCCTGTAGAAGAACCCCATTTTACATAATCCTGTGTGTTTTACAATATAAAAGGAGGCCATTCTGACCCCCTTGAATCATCATTCTAGCAATTCCCTTGTCGAAGACAAGGGCTTCTAACCCCGGGAGATATAGATCCGGCTTCCCGGTTCTTTGTATTTGTTGTCGTGGATGGGAGTTTTCAGCGCTGTATAAAGATATATCGACGTATTTCGTAATCCTTTTCTTGCCGAAAAAGGTATTTCTTCGCGAAATTGTAAGCAGATTAGTCAACTTTGGACCCGGTTTAAGGCGTCTATCTTATCTTGACCTCTATTCGGTACACGTACTCTGTTCTACTGTTCTCGCGGTGACGTTGTGTCCTAGGGTAGCAACGCAGGGGCGTCTTCGGTACGGCCACATTAAACGCTTTTTCTATTTTTCTACAACACGTGCTGTGTCGGCAACGGGCAACAGCTTTCAATGAAAGTCGTCCGGGCGACTATTTTGTACTACGTACATATTGTTGAGCATTTTTGAGGCCTGTTCACTTCTTCCGCTTTCACCGTAGGTCTTTTATTTTCGTGCGCTACCAGTGCTCTAACACCCATGAGCGTAGCATGAGGTGAGTCCACACGGGAGAGTATTCCATCGAAGCGAGCATGCTTGATCTAGGGAGCTCCGTCGACGCCGATCTTGAGCTCCTGGGCTGTTCTGCAACTACTGTAATGCACAGTTGCAGACCCTGAGCTTGGTCCCGCTGTGACAGCCACCGCCGCATAGGATGCAGATCTCCCGCTGTACTGTACGAGTATTTTAAAATACGACAAAGTATCTCAAAATAAAGCAATTTATTCCGTCGTCGTCGACCAAGGGCCGCACCGGCAAAGCCGGCACGGCCCTTGGTCAGTTGCTCCTCCATTAATACCTTTGACAAGAGGAAAAATGAAGAGGTTGCTTTTGAATCCAAACCTCCTTTTAGTTTACTGAGATAGTTGGAATTGATTTCAACAGATCCAACAAAGTCTCTCAAAATAAAGCAATCTATTCCGACATCCTCGACCAAGGGCCGCGCCGGCCTTGGTCGGTAGCTTCTCCGTTAATACCTTTGACAAGACGAAAATTGAAGAGGCTGCTTTTGAATCCAAACCTCCTTTCAGGTTACTGAGGTAGTCAGAATTGTTTTCAACAGATTAGTTTGAGAAGACTATGGATAAACTAGGGATTGGATGGTGGTGCTCTCAACATATGGAACGGGGCACCTGTAAGGACCCGGCCTTTGGCCGGTTACTTACCGGTAAAACCTTCTTCTGAGCCCGAGCCTTGTGATATTTCTTGCCCGAGTACACATGATCCTTATCCGCGCCCGAGCCCGAGCCCAAGCTTGAGCTCATATCCGACCTTGATCCCATGCCCATATCCCCTTAGTTACTGATTCCGCTCCATCACGCATCATTCGTATATTACCTCGCCCTGACCTCGGCCTCCCGACCTCGCCCTCACCTCCACTAATTTGTTCGCCCCTGACTCGTACCCTCGCTCGTATATAAACCCCCCTGTATGCATTCCTACTCCTCAGTCTGAAAATCAACTATCGTATCCCTTCGATCCTTAGCTAGTTTCTAAGCCTCGCCTCTTAAAGCCAAACCTCGCCTCTTATTCGTTTGCCTCCGAAGTTGGGACTCGTGCGTAGGGTTGGCGCAGCACATAAGCTGAAGCCAAGTCCCTCTCCGACTTCCCCATCCAAACCTCGCCCCGTGACCTCGGTCAACCTTACGACGGATCGTATTGTAACAGCACCTATTTCTAGGGACCTATTGGATTCTGTGTGTGGATGACATAGTACAGAATTGGAATAGTGACCTCTGGAGCATTTGAGTGCTACTCTATATGATTAGAGACTGTGATTAAAGAGGAAGGAAAGTATTGTTTGGAACATTCAGTAAAAATCCCATGACGATTACTGCTACTTTACCTAACACATTCCTGATAAATGACTGTGTAAGTACAACGTGCACTCACTTTAATAAATAAAGACCACCACCCTAAGGACTTCGACAAGGGCCTCGCCGGCGACGCCGGCCTCTATTCTAACATCTTTTATCCATGTGACCTCATGTGACTTGCATCTTACTAAGCTGCTAATCCCAGCTAGGGTTATTCACTTACTTTAGTGTCTAATTCCTTGTTAAGTAGTTACTTTACTGCTTAGCCACTTGGACTATTCCTCTGGGTGTAATTCTACAGAGTGAGCCTGTCAATTGATAGTCTTGCCATTGCACTCCAATACCCAAGATGATCTGATCAGTTGATTTTCCTGATTGGAGACTTTCACAAGTCACTTCCACAAAACTTGTCACTCGTTTTATTGCAGTGTGCTGGTAGATTATCAGGGCAGTCCATTTATAAACTCGCCTGCTAAGTACATTCCTTCATACTTTGGAATACGCTTGGACCCCGATAGTGTCCTTGAACCTACAGTCTTTTAGTTTATTATTCAGTGCTACTAAGAAATGCATTGCCTTCCATCTGTATTAACTTGGACTAGTTTTTATGCGGATTACAACCAAGGTACAAATATTAAATTATTTCCAGAGTTGTGCTGTTTGATATTCTTGAAGTCTCGTAAACGACACGTTCTGATAGATTGAGGCATTAGCGATAACACCAAAGTCTTGAAGGGTTCCAAAACAAATGTAGGGAATGAGGGTTGCCAGCAGCAGACATTTCTTGGAGGTGTTGATGGGCACAAAGGAGAGATTGCATCAGAACATGTGCCAGGTCACATGTTCCGACTAATTGGCTGCCACTTTTGGAAAGTTAGTATTTTGAGCACTTAAATTATAGGGCAATAATTATTATTATAGGACTTGATATATATCAGCCAACATATAATCTCTAATGAGCTTCTTGTATATAAAATATTCACCACGCAGAGTCGGCTACCGAAACTCTCGGCAGTCTATGACGTACCCTCTCATGAATAAATCAGATCCTCAAGTTTCTTGTAGGTGAGATGGCCGAGTTGGTCTAAGGCGTCAGACTAAGGCTACCGTAATCTGATCTCTTCGGGGGCGTGGGTTCGAATCCCACTCTCATCATTTTTCCTCATCGATTTGACTTTTCATACATTTTGTAATTACTTATCGCAGAATGCTTACTGTATATCGTTACCTGCGTTTGGTAAGTAAAGACACATCGAAATTGTATATCCTATATACAGCATTGGTATTCAAAGAAAAACGGAATCCTGCAATGTAATGATATGCGTACGTGGAGCATGACTATCAGCAACCTTACGGTGAAGCGTTAGTCCTCCCCGTTATTGATGTCTTCCAAGCCTCGTTGATCCTTCTGGAGTTCCGCCTCTTCGACCGCTACCATGTCAACGACCTCTTCTGGGTTACCTGCAACGTCAGCTTCGTCAGCCTCTATATCATCCTCCTCCTCCTCCTCCTCCTCCTCCCCCTCCCCCTCCCCCTCTTCCACCTCCCCCTCTTCTTCGTGCTCTTCCTCCTCGTCCCGTGCGTACGCGTCTACGTCCAAACCACCTTCCTCTCGTCCTTCATCATTCTCCGAAAATCCAGGCTCGGGCTCCACGTCTTTGCGACTGCTTTCGGAAGCAAGTGCAACGGCTTTGAGTGTGCCCGATACAACAGACGAAGGGTCCTTCTCCTTTCCCTTTCCCTTCAGCTCCGCAGCCTTTCCTTTCCCCTTGTCAGCTTTTCCTATTCCACGATACGCTGGAAATTTGACGCCGTTGAGAACGAGAACGAAAGAGAAAACACAGCCCCACGTACATTCCAGCTCGCCTTGCAAAATAGGTACCAGATCGCCAAATTCAATGAGTTCAAGCGCTTTGAGGATATCTTGGCCCGCGATAGTCTTGCGTGAGCGCGAAGACGCAACATCTTGCGCACTGAGCATTTGGCTGCATTAGACACTGGGATAGTGAGCAACTTACAAGACCTCACGTCGCGGCTGTACCATGGACCAGTCATTTATCAGACACGTGGCGTCATAACCAGGCATACCTAAGTAGTTGATAAAGACGGTGGCGCCATTGGCGAGGGTGCTAATTGTTTCTTTCTGTAGCTTAGCGTCATGTGGCAGCTGACGAAAAGACGAATGAGCTGCGGTTTAGAAGTGTGGGATGAACGCTGCCTCACCACAGACTTTGCGATTCGTGTTACGAGCGCTTTTGGGAGCTGGAAACTGTCGATGCCCTCTGGGCTTGCCCCGGTTGGCTGGCGTGTTGACGGACGTGCTGACATTGTGGAGGGTTAGATTTCAGGCGGAGATGACGCGTTCCCCTTTAGGCTATTCTCCTACCTTAATAGGCCGACCAGGCTTCAACTTGGAACTCAGAGGCCATGTATATAAGGACAGGACTCCCTGACGACGTCACTCAAGCCTCCTTCTCCTCCCATTCCTCCGATTCAGCGTGCTCAGGGTCACTGTCAGAGACGCCATGCACACTCGATCCTTTTACGACACTCATGAGTCCTTGTCGCCACCGCCATTTTACCTGCTTTGCTCCCTGTCAACGTGTTAGCTCGATCTGCCAGAGGTTGTAACAGCAACTGGGGTGCCAACATATCCTGCCACTCATGGCAGTTCTGAACAGGGACTAGGTGCAAGTCATTGTTTGTTTACCATAATCCATAGCAACAAATAGTGAAAAAGGAGGAAATTTGGTAATAATTTGAAACTGTGGCAAATGGTGAAGAATTCTTCCTTTTGTTAAAAAAATTTAAGACATCAAGGAAATCTAATTAAATAATAATAATTTTGTCATGATTTATTCCTTATAAATGTTCATCTGTTTTTATAGGAGGTGCCTCAGCAGCTGTCCCTGCCATCTCAATGCCACAGCAGTCCCTGCCATCCTTGACGCTGCAACAGCAGTCGACCCCAATGCTGCTGCAGCAGCCTTAGTCACTGCTGCACCCATCTGCTTCTCTATTGCCTCCCAACATCACTCCCTTCCTCAGTGCCCCCATCATTACAAGGAACTTCTTTTGTGCCACCCATATCCCTTAACCCAACATCAGGTATGTCTCTTGACTGAACTTTCCCTCACATTGAGTCTGCGCTGCGGCTGGCTATTGCTCAACATAGGTTTCAACCTGGTGATCTCTACAAGCTGGACACCCCCATGAAGGAGAAGCCAAAACCGAAGACATTTGCAATTTAGTACAATGGAGAATTTACCCAGCAAGAGAGGGATGCCTCCCCTAAAGACTAGCCGTCTTTCTGTGCTCCTTATGATCCCTTGGTGACTTACTTCAAATCACTCCAATTCTTTATCATCTCAATGGTGAATTTGCTAGCCATCCACCAAGTCATGTTTGGTTGCTCAGAATACTTATGCATCCTGTATCAAATCTATATGAGATATGAGTGGTCTTTGGTGCTCCAGTACCATTTCGTGTTCCACAACCACCACCTGGCTGAAATGCAGGAGGGAGATAACTCAGGATGGAGGACGATGGATGCAGAACTTGGTTCACTTTATCTCTATGGGAACCCCAAATTCGCTTCATCTAAAGTCTTATCGCAATCCAGCACTTCTTTGAACATGAAGCAGACTTGCTTCACCTTCCAGTCTGGCACATGTTCTTCTCCCTGTGCACAAGGTCACATTCACAAATGCAAATTTGTGGCAGCTCTGATCATGGCAGATCTGCATGTGTGAAGAAAGGGGATAGCTCCACTTAGGATGTCAGCAGGGCGAGTGGGCTCCTGTCAAACCTGTCCTCCTGTCAAGATTGGATTTTGGGCGTTAATATTGCATGTTAGTGGCGAATGCCCGAATAGTGTGTGCGATCTAGTGAATCTCCCAGCGAACAGTACCGAAGAGGTAAGGGTTAAAAAGTAAGAGGGTTACTTGAAAGGAATTCGCCCTGATCTACAGTCATAGCGAAATAGCCCATGGCACTTGACGATGTAACGTGCAAGGTGTCACGGAAGGGTTGTCTAAGTAGTGACAATCCCTTCGCCGGCGAAGGTGCTCCTTCAGAGCCCTTTGCCAACAGCACAGAAAATAACTCGAAGGCTAAGGTAATGAAGATGAAGTATGAGAACTCACCAGTGAGGCCTAAGTCCTCTTCTGGTTGAAGATAGAAATCTACAGGAGAAGGCTCAAGACGATAGTCACAGCGAGGTCGAGTTTGCACAAGATGGACGTATGATAATTAAACTGGAGAATATACATGCGAATGTAGACTACTTATACCGAATGCTCATATGGTGCTAGCGAATAGGAAAGAGGCCGTCTAGAGTCAGGGTTGGATAGGGGTGCGTGGTCAGGATACATAATAGATGAAATAGACATACAATAGAATGGAAGAGGGGTGCGAACATGAAACGACGGAGAGGAAAGAGGGAGAAAGCCCCTATGTATGAAAACATGCCTTGGGACCTGCATATACACCACCCTGTATGGAGTCTGCGTCTGCTGGGTTGATCCCACATGACCTACGGGTAGGATGCCCCGCGAATGCATTCTGGCCATAGGAACACCCAAAGGGGGTTGAGTTGAGAAGATGATGGGACCAGTGATGAACCATCAATCCGGGTAAAGGATGTCGACCGTGTTTGATGGCGTGCCTGCTGGCAAATGATGCGAGTAGCGAATGGTCATATGGCGAATGTGGCGAATAGCGAATGGAGCAAGGAGTGAATGGAGCGAAGACGAGTGAACATGGAAGAGTGGTGAAAGGGAAAACAGGGATAGCTGGGTACAAGAAATAAATGAGTCCTGACAGCCTGCACCTCCTTGCAATTCATGATAGGACCAGTGATGAACCATCAATCCAGGAAAAGGATGTTTGTGTTTGATGGCATGGCTACTGGCGAATGATGCGAGTAGCGAATGGTCATTTGGCGAATGTGGCGAATAGTGAATGGAGCAAAGAGTGAATGGAGCGAAGCCGAGTGAACATGGAAGAGTGGTGGTGAAAGGGCAAACAGGGATAGCTGGATACAAGAAATGAATGGGTCATGACAACTGTGTAGTCAAAACTTCAGCGAAGCTAATTCGTCCTGCCCTGCAGTGGTATGAGTCCCATTGAGTCCAACCTGCACGGAGGCTGCAACTGACACTATCCGAATGCATCCTGAGCATGTGGGTCTGTCATGGAGTGGGAGTGTAACAGATGATGGGTTCTATGATGGATGAGGGCTCCAACACCTGGCGTCCTGGCAGGAATGATGCAAATAGCGAATGCGAAAGCAGTATGGCGACGAATATTTTGGCAAGATATTCGCTGGTTCGGGAAGCCGTTCGCTGGTTCAGGAGGTCATTCGCTGTGTGCTGAGGGATGATTCGCAGAATAAACGAATCATGACACCTCCCCTCATCCTTGCCCACAGGACCCTCTTGATCAGTTACTTCCCTGTCCTGTTTCACATTCTATGCATTCTCGCTGCACTTCCTCTTCTCTTTCCAGTGTCGATGCTTTACCCCACACCGAGCTTTTCCTTCCCAGCCCCCACCCCCTGCAGACCCAGATAGGGTCATCGCTTGGTGGGTCCACCAGCTGTAGGATGGGGGCCTTGCAGGCCAGTGCCTTATGCTTTGTGGGTATTTGTCAAGCAAGGACGTCCATTCAAATGGCTGGTTATTGTGTATCTCAGTAAAGGGGTCATATATGTGCTTACATCTGGCATATAATATGCCAGATATTGGACAAGACCCAGGAAGCGTTGGATGTCATTGAATGTCCTGGACCTCCTCCACTCGTGGATGCACTGCATTTTGTCTGCATCCATGCGTATGCCTTGGGTGTCTATGATATGGCCAAGGCACTCCATTCATTCTGAATAGAGGTCTACTTTCTTCTTGCTTAAGAAGAGATGACTTTTCCATAGTGTGTCAAAGACTATGTGGAGGTGTTCCTCCTGCTCTTAAATTGAGTGCAAGAAGATAGAAATGTTGTCCATATATACATGGATGAAACAACCTATGTAGTCCAGGAAGATTGCCATCATCAGGCATTGAAACATTGATGGTGTTACGACCATGCTGCTTGACCAACTCTGCAACCTCCGATCCACTTCCGCACCACCTCCGACTCTATTCCGCAATGTCCGTAAT